TTAAACGTAACGCACAATGAATACAAATAAGTTTAAGATATAACTATATTTCATACTTATTTATATTCGTTATATGTTATTTAATTTTATTCTGAATTTTTATTTCTAAAATTTAATATTTATTTCTATTCCTAATATTTCCTCGATTATGCGCAGGCTCCTAAATGCGTTATGTTAAAAAATTCTCTATATTTTCTGTCTTCATATATCTATTTGCAATTTTTATTGTAGATTCCATGGGTACAAGTATTTCGTTCTAAACCATTTATAGCAATTTTAATTGCTCATTTTTGCAGCAATTTCGGTTGGTACATGTTATTGATCGAACTGCCTACTTTTATGAATCAGATCTTGAAGTTCGATATGAACTCGGTAAGACTAGCAGTGTACGAGATTTAACATGTCACAAATTAATTTGCTTATTCATTAGAATGCAGGCTTGACCTCCATCCCATTTTTGTGTATGTGGCTCTTCACTATGATTCTCAGTAAAATATTAGCCACTCTGCAGGAGAAAGGCCTGATTACAGTAACAATATCTAGAAAAATTGGCACTCTCTTTGGTAAGTTTAATATTGAAGACTAAATTTTCAAAATATATCGAATTTGAATTAATCAAAACATTTGCATTAGAATATGAATTTTTGAATATAATTATTTTTATTTCTACATTTTCTACATTTGTATTTTTTTCAAGTGCATCTTTCAATTAAATAACATTTTATAATTTTTATAATTATTACAGCGTCTCTTATACCCATGATATGCTTAATACAAGTGTCATACATCGGGTGCGATCGAACAAAGGCAGTCGTGTTGATGACGATCGCAGTAACTTGTATTGGAGGAATGTATTCTGGCTTTTTGGCAAACCATATAGATATTGCACCGAATTTTGCCGGTAGCTTGGTGGCGATAACGAATTTTGTCGCCACTATACCCGGCTTTGTTGTACCGATATTTGTAGGAAAATTAACTCACGGAAACGTAAGTAATAAAGTAAAAAACCGTTTCTAAAGTCTACAGAGTAACGGAAAGGATACAAACTATTATCAAGGAAATTAAGGAATAAATAATTTTGTCTTAAATAAATTTTTCTTTACTTCAATTATAATAATTAAGTATATTTCGAGTTTATTATTTACAGCAAACTATAGAGGCATGGAGAATTGTATTCCTCGTAACAATTATTCTATACGTGATTGAGATATTGATTTACACTATCTTTGGAAGTGGCAACGAACAACCTTGGAACCAGATTGAAGCATCTGACGAGGAAGCGAACGATCAGACGCTACCTTTAAGGAGAAATAACATAAGATAGAGTACATTAATATAGCTTAGTTATTCGATTAATTATTCGTGTTTCAACATAAAGGATTTTTTATGTATTTTATATTTTGTGCATTTTTGCGCAACAGAATGTTTATTGATATTTATTTTACTTTATTTATTTTACTATTATTAATTGCATGAGGTTATATAGAAAGTCTATTTTATTATATATAAAAAAATAATTATTTATTATAATAATTTATAACTAATAAAGTCTGCGATATCCTTTAGACCTTAAATTATTTGCATGCACTTACCTATTATTATCGTGTTCGTACTATTTTACAAAAGTACATGGGACCCCAATTATTATCGAGAGTAGGGATTGCGATGTGACCGTATTTTAATCCAAAATTACCGAACTTATAAAGGCATTTCAATGGCTCCAGTGCTTTTTTCATATCTCTGTCTCAACAAAGAATTTCATTGATATAAAATGAGATTAAATGATAATTTATTTGTAGAAGATACTTACTTTACAACCATAATAGAATTGGTTTCCTCCCAAGCCTTTTTCAGCGCCATGCCGACAATACCATCGTTTTGAATGGGACTGAGAGAACAGGTAGAATACACGACTGTTCCGCCGACTGATATTATTTTCAATGCATTACTGTAACAGAAATTATCTAATAAAGGAAAATAACTGGATACCTTCGCGATAATAGTGATTTTGTACACACGTTAAAATTTCCGCTTGCAACTCTGGCATCTTTAATCTTTCTCGTATCCTCTGCGGCTTGAAAATATTATTTTCTTCTGAATGTAAAACGTGTCTGTCCGTGGTGCACGGTACATCTACCAGAATCTACGTAAAGATAAGGATTATTACAAGATTTTTTTTTAAATATATAAATTTTTCTGTACCTTGTTAAAGAAATTATTGTCATCGATATATCTCGCGTCTCGCTCTGTCACAAATAATCTGTCGTCCTGACCCATGCCGGCTATATATTGATTTAAGACTTTATGGATCCTGTCTACTCGAGACTTTTGGATATCATTCGTGACCAGCAATTGTGGCATGAGTGTTTGGAGGATGCTTAGAGTTTTTCCTCCTGGCGCCGCGCACATGTCCAGAACAACATCACCGGCTTGCAAATCTAAGGCCAACACTGGCAACACAGAGGCACCATCCAAGAGATAATAATCTATATAACACAATCATAATGTTTATATCATAACAGAATAATAAAATGTCCATTTCTACTAATATAGATTAATTTTAGTCTCCATTAACTTATTTTTTATCTTTAATTTTAAGAATTAAAAAAATAATGAAGAGTAAAACCAATCAATTAAAATTAATATTAGTACATACATAATATTAATATATTAATATATATTAGAAAGACATTAAGCTCCAATTAAAATTAACAAACCTAAAACACCAGTTGAGCCTTTTTTGGGGGATGGAAATTTGCTGTCATTACCTTCCTCAAATGTATAGATGTTGAGATACTGTGGAAATGTTAACAGTACCTCTTTTTCGACATTTACTGAAAAATCCGCGCCTTGTTGGTAATAGCCATAATGTTGCGACTCTAATATCCAATCTTCCATGCCTGAAAGGTGAAAAATAAACTTGTGTTAATGTTTCTATACATTTGACATTTATTTTTTCAGATTTTTGATATTAATTACCTTTAATTTTGGTAGCTGGTACAAATTCATATAACCCGTTTAAGCCAGCATTGGGATGTACAATTCGATTTTGATCTATAGCAATTTTATTTAAATCAGATTCAATAGATTTCATTTCTATTGGGTGTAATGCTTGTTCTTCAGGTATTACATCATCTTTATCATTTGTACTCAAAGGCAGTGATGTATAATCTACAGGATAATGTGACTGCACTGCTGAGATTTGAACGTCAGAAATTATAGATTTCATTTGACTGCTTACTTGCTTTTTCTTCTTTTTTTTCTTCATTTGATTTACATGATTTCTCATTGATATGTTCCTTATAAGCATCATAAATAGTTCTTAAATTCATAGCACCATAGGACTAGAAAAAAATAAGATAGAATCAAATCTAATGTTTTCAATAATCCTTTGGAATATATTACCTCCAATTCTGACTTTATTCTATCTATATCACTGAAGCTGTTTACAACAGCCATATATTTGTGCTCTTCCGCTAGTAACGCAGTTCTTATATCGTTCCATGACTCTCCATAGACATTTCCATAGAACTCATCAAAATGTTTCAGCGCCTTGTCCATATGTGTCTTTTTTTTTTAATCACAGACTAAACAAATGACAAAGAAAAAAAGTTAAATTTAAAAAATCTCAAATATTTATTTTATACTTATACTTATTTTATACTTATTTTATACTTAAAAATTACGATGTATTTAATCTTTATTTAAAAAAGATAATATAATATTTGTAATAAGATAAATATTTGTAAAAAAAAAGAAAAAAATAATACAATACACAAATTATAAAGAATTAAAGAATTATAAAGTGCAAATTATTTACTTACCCAGTGATCCGCTTTGTGACTGTGTCTAGCAACCTGCATCTTAAACAGTTCTCTGATTGCCAGTCTATTAAATAAATGTGCCATTTTTTCATATTAAATTTATATTTTTATTCTATTTAAATCGGCAACTATTTTCTTGAGGTTATGTTTTAAACATTGTGTCTACTCTGTTTAGCTGAACTGGCTACACTAGCTCAAAGTTTACCTTTCTTCTTTCAGTGTAAAGAAAGGAAGATCAATTGTGAACTAGTACAACCAGTTCAGCCAAAAAGAACAAGCCTATGATTTTGTCAGTCAAGAAAGACTGTTCTTCGTGTTGTAATTTTTATCCTTTCTCTCTTTCTCTCCAAGCATTATTATGTACTGTTTCTTTCTGAGTACAAAAAGAGTAACATAGTGCAACTACATTCAAGACTTTATTATTTATATTAAATATATGTTATTTTATATTATCAATAAAGTAGGAATAAAATAAAAATAAAATTGAAAAAGTCAGGTGTTTTTTAAAATAAAGAATAAGACAAAACAACAATATTTTAAAATGACAGATTTGTTCTTTGTATCTGCACTGTATTATATCCTTTGTACTTTGAATGAAATGAATGTACCATTATCTATGCATTCCGATATTCACTGTATTGAAAATATATAGTTCAGATCACGTATATTATAGATTTTCAGTACTGGCAGTGAATATCGGAACGCAGCCTATATTAGAGAAAAAGAGAGAAAACATAAATAGGCAATTTGGCCATGAAAAATAAACCTATGAAAGAAGAGTAGCGATAGTGTAGCGCGATAACCAATTGCAAGCTAGTTTTAATCTGCAGTAGCCAATCAAATTCCGTCTCGGAATTGTAAGAAATACGTAAGAAATAAGAAATAATCTAGAAGACCTCTAGTCCTTGCTCATAGAACTCGGAGGGATAAATCGCACATGTATCGATGAAGTTACGTTAATGTCGTGTTACAACAAAAATAACATAACGTAATTGCTGCCGAGAAGAGAGACCAAGAAATATAACCTATAAAGCCTCCAAGGTACCTCTAACCTCTCAGTATATCAATTCAGAAGTATATCAAACCAGAAAGTTTAGTTATATGTATGTTTTAATCTACATATATTAGTTGAAAGCATTCTCTTTTTTAGTAAAAAGGAAACATGGAGAAGTCGCAGAAGATGCCGAAAGTGGCAAAGGTGAAGAATAAGGCGCCCGCGGAGATACAGATCACCGCGGAGCAGCTGCTGCGCGAGGCGAAGGAACGTGATTTGGAAATTCTGCCGCCGCCGCCAAAGCAGAAGATCTCGGATCCGCACGAGCTCGCGGACTACCAACACCGCAAGCGGAAGGCGTTCGAGGACATCATCCGTAAGAATCGTATGATCATCACGAACTGGATGAAGTATGCGCAATGGGAGGAGAGCCAGAAGCAGATACAGCGTGCGAGATCCATTTACGAGCGGGCGCTCGAGGTAGATCATCGGAACATAGCGCTCTGGCTGAAATACACCGAGATGGAAATGCGCAATCGACAAGTGAACCATGCCAGAAATCTGTGGGACAGAGCGGTAACTTTGCTGCCGCGCGCCAATCAATTCTGGTACAAATACACCTATATGGAGGAGACTCTGGAAAATATCGCCGGCGCGCGTCAGGTGTTTGAGCGATGGATGGAGTGGGAACCAGATGAACAGGCCTGGCAGACATATATCAAATTCGAGCTACGTTATAAGGAGATTGAGCGAGCGCGGCAGATTTATGAGCGCTTCGTCATGGTTCATCCCGACGTGAAGCATTGGATAAAATACGCTCGTTTCGAGGAATCGTACGGATTCATCAAAGGCGCGCGCACGGTTTACGAACGTGCCGTTAACTTTTACGGTGATGAGGGTCTGGACGAGAAGCTGTTTTTGGCGTTTGCGAAATTCGAGGAGGGTCAACGGGAGCACGATCGAGCTCGCATAATCTACAAATATGCATTGGAACACATACCCAAGAGCAACACTCAGGAGATCTATAAAGCGTACACAATTCACGAGAAGAAATACGGCGATCGCTCGGGCATCGAGGATGTTATAGTTAGCAAGCGGAAGCATCAGTACGAGCAAGAGATCAAGGAGAATCCTTCAAATTACGACGCGTGGTTCGATTATCTGAGATTGGTGGAGTCTGAGGGTAACGTCGACGTGATTCGTGAGATGTACGAGCGAGCGATCGCCAATGTGCCGCCCACCAAGGAGAAACAATTCTGGCGAAGGTACATTTACTTGTGGATCAAGTACGCTCTTTTTGAAGAATTAGAGGCTAAGGATATCGAACGATGTCGGCAAGTGTATAAGGTCTGCCTCGAGCTCATACCGCACAAGCGTTTTACCTTCTCCAAAATTTGGCTGCTTTACGCGCACTTCGAGATACGACAAAAGAATTTGACCAAGGCGAGAAAAACACTGGGCCTAGCGCTAGGAATTTGTCCAACCGACAAACTTTATCGGGGCTATATTGATCTCGAGATACAACTGGTAGAGTTTGATCGATGTCGCACGCTGTACGAAAAATTTCTTGAGTTCGGACCGGAGAACTGTACCACATGGATGCGATTCGCCGAGCTGGAAACGCGATTGGGTGAGATTGATCGCGCTCGGTCTATATACGAATTTGCCATCGCACGACCGAGGCTGGATATGCCAGAATTATTGTGGAAATCGTATATAGACTTTGAGATTACCCAAGGCGAGACGGAAAACGCGCGACAGCTGTTCGAGCGATTATTGGAACGTACATTACACGTCAAAATCTGGATAGCGTACGCGAAGTTTGAACTGTTGAATCCGCAATTGGAGGACAGTCCTGACAACGTCGTCTTGGCAAGACGTATCTTTGAACGCGGAAACGATGCCCTGAGATCCAACGGCGACACTGAGAGTCGAGTGTTGTTACTGGAAGCCTGGAAAGACTTTGAAAGCGAGAAAGGCACTCCTGAAACTCTTGCCAAGATTATGGAAAAGATGCCACGCCGGGTAAAGAAAAAGAGGCGCGTCGTGGGCGAAGATGGTAACGATGACGGCTGGGAGGAAGTTTTCGACTTTGTATTTCCGGAAGATGAGTCGCAGAGGCCGAATCTCAAATTCTTGGCTTCCGCAAAGGCGTGGAAAAAACAGAGCGAGCAGTCTCAATCCTGAGATAGCCAAATTATGATAAAAAGAAGCAGCACGTAATAGTTAACACTTAAAATTAAGAAATTTCTCTAATGTTCATTTCTATCAATAATTTTAATTTCGATTAATTTATCCTTTATGTTTTCTAACTCTTGCTACTAATTCTTGAATTAAAAAAGAAATCAAAAATAAGTTAAACCGGAATTAAAATTAAAGTACATTAGAAATGGATATAAAACTTTATGACTGTACAAAACGCATTTTTTACTTTGGACGAATAAGAATGTACGATAAATAAATTGTTTATTATTTATCAATATATAAACTGTGATATTTTGCTATCGTCAGAAATACATTATAAAGTCATAAAAACATTATAAATAATGTTTTGTGTATG